TGGCTTGTATGTGAGGACAATGGAGAATGGTGTAGATTGTAAGGAGTTGTGACTTGAAACTTTAAAAAAGATGGATGCGGTAGATAAGGGCGGAGGTGGAGGAACCAAGGAAGGGCAAAGGAAAGGACAATGTTAGAAATGTTGTGTGGGAACTGGAACAAGAATATATGGAAGCCCTGAAAGGCAAGTGATTTTTTTTTTTACTTACATCTTAGAATGGAGAGATGCACACCCCTAATTTCAAGCCAAAAGAAACATGACAATTACATAACTTGCTAACAGACAATATGTACCTTGTTTTTAGAGTGCAGGGAGAAATTATCTTGTGTTAAAAATGAGTATTACAACAACAAACGCTAAATTTTTTTTTTACTTACCTTTCAGGGCTGTTGTAGGAGGCAGTTTGCAAAAGCTGTTTATTTACTTCAGTCGAGTTTAAGGAAATGCTCTTAATACTTTTTTTTTTGACGTTTGGAAAGTTTGCAAATTTTTCACATCGAAAAACAACTAAAATACGCCATAATATAAGAATCCACCAGTTAAATCCAGGCTTAGACAGCAGGGATCATGATTCCCATCAAATACGAGATTTCAATCTGCCTGGATATCTTATGCAACTCTTCCACATGGCTTCTATTGCAACTGATAAACAAGTTGGGAATAAATTAGAGGTTTTACTTCATAATATTTTTTTGCCGTGTTTTTCTCATGCTGTCCTTAATTTACACTAGCTCTCTTGAGTCAGGGCTAATTCAAACCCTGATCTGAGCAAGTAAATTCCAAGCAAAGCAGTTAAACCGCATGTACACACACACGCACACATACGCACATACACAAAAACCGAGCTCATCATCAGCAGTCTCATTATGTTGTTGATTCTTCGTCTCCCTGCAGACAGTGCTATTTACCCAGTGTCTCCAAGAAGGGGGAGACGGGTAATGAGACTGATGTGTGCAGGGGTGCGTTCTGGGTAATTTGTTTGATACGAGACCTGATGGGAAGTGAAGGGATCAAAAGATTAAAACAGCTTTTTTCTTTTTCTCCCCCTTCACCTACCCTTCATCTTTTCCCAGCCCTCCTCTCAATGTAAAATGTCGAGAAAACAGGAGCTGTCTCCTTATTTTCTCCCTGTCTGGGTTTAATTTGTGATTAAAACCTCACCTTGACTGTGCTGTAACGCTGCATATTCCCACACATACGCATACAATTGCAGTGAAACGGAAACATACCTTCCTCAGGGCCCGTTTCTCACCTATGATCTTCTACTCCCTCATTAGCTCATTCTGACCCATGAACTCATCACGTGACACCCTGAGGGGGTCGAAGGTTCCTCAACAGGTGGACTCAGGTGACAAACAGGTGTGGCTTCCTGACATCAGCCCAACCTTTTGTCTTTTATGTCTACACACAAGTTTGCAACATTCTTCAGACCTAAAGGTGCATGTACACCTATGGAAGAAATTCTAGTTCTTACTACATGCTAACTTGATTAGGGACTGTATACAAGTTATTTGGAGGATAGGAGGGTCAGAAAAGGAGAAGGGTTATATACTTTTTGTTTTTGCTTAAGGGCGGGTAGTCTGACATTTTTTGGAGCGTAACTTTTACTTAAATAACTCATTCTCAATTCAGATGATCCAATATTTCTCAAAAGTGAAAGATTAGTGAAAAGTCAAAAAACTGGAAACAGATTTGTATCGGAACTTTGTGTTTTCTTCTTTCCTCTGCCATTAATCATCTCATGACCCCTCAGATCTTCTTCTTTAGACCCTTTGGAGGGGCCTGACCCATAAATTTTGAACCGCTGGACTGAGCGGTATATAACTGCTTGAGTCCACCGGGAACGGCTGCATCGGGTTTCAGCTGCGACCCCGCTGCCAGAGCTGGTTGCTGCTGTTGAAGAAATGCTTGTGATTCATGAACAGAATCGCATGTTGAAGAAGCTGTTCTCCGCTTTCCTCCACTTGCACAGCAATGGCTTACAGAATCCAGCCAATCTTCAAAATTCCCAATTATAAAAAAAGACAAAAAGAAATATTATGTTACCTACTTACCCATGGTAGAAGCACATAAATCAAGGAAAAATTGACAAATCTGCAAAATCTTAGCAAGTTAACAAAACCGAGCTTCTGAAACACTTGGTAGTGTATGGAGCCATGTGGAGCATGGATCAAAACAGCACCACTGATGTGAGCCGTGCCCAGTGGAATTAAGACAAAGGAAAACTGGTTCTACTTCAAGCAGCTACAACAGTAAAATGCTGCTTACACACAGATGCATATTAACAATCTAACCCTATCTGCAGAATGAGTGCTTTTACTTTGATACTGTAAGTACATTTTACTGATAACACTTGCAGGACTGAATGCAGGACTTTTACGTGTAACAGGATATTTTGACAGTGTTGTTCCTAAAGTGTAGAATCTGTATACTTCTTCCACCTCTGCACAGTGACAATAGCATTTGGAAGATCAATAAAGACAACATGTAATACAGGACTTGAAATTATGTTGCATCTTCATCCAGAACTTGTTAGTTTATTTACAGTTGATACAAGTTAATATGCAGCACAGAAATTCAACAAGGAATAGCCTGCAGTTGCCACTATCTGCAGAAGAGTGGGTTTATAAGATGTCTGTCACTATATGAACTTTGCAAAGCAGCCAAAGGCAATTTGAGCTGAACAACCCAAAAATTAATGCACGGTAGCTAAGATGAATTCACAGCAACAACATAAAAGGTGACATTTGAAAGGTAGCACATTAGTGAAATGCACTGGATACATTAATTCAGTGTGGCTAAAAGCCTTGTTAGCATTCACAGTTTGAGTCTGAATGTACAATTATGAGACAGAGAGGAAGGATGGGGAAGAGAGGGAGGAGGGCAGATAGAGAGAGAACAAAAGGAAGCAGAAGAGAGAGAGAGAGAAAGAGGAGTAGAGGGAGAGAGTCTTTCATGTCTCCCCTGAGTTTGAAAGGCCTCCCTTTCATGTGAGCATTGTCATATTCTCTCTGTTCTCATTCCATTTGCTCCACCTCTCTTCCCGTGATAAAGACATCACTCTTTTAGTACAGGGAGGGCAATACAGCGTGAGCACTCGCTGGAGTGTCTGTGTGCGTGAGAGAAGTGCAGCAATCTCATATTAGTACTGCCATTAAATGCATACGCAGGAAACTCTGTCTCTGAAGAATTATGTTCACATACAACGACTTTGCCATAGCCAATACATTGTGAACGAAATATGATGCCATTATTAAATCAAAATCTTACATGTTTTAGATTCTGACTGAAATCTGGAAACCTACATATCTCATTTGTTTTCCCTAAAATATCTGCTCCTGCCAAATACAGCGTGATTAACATTCATGGTTGTGTTTGTAGACAACATAAAGCACTTGGTTAAAGTTAGAGAAAAATATGTGGTCTGTCTCCTGCTTCAAGTCAGTGCTGAGCACAAGGCTGTGTTAGTGCTGTGGTTCATTGTTGCAGTGCCTTAACCTCTAGGCCAGGGTGCCCTGAGACATGTCTAATGATGCAGTCTTCAGTGGGAACAAATGGACTCGGTGTTTAGTGGCACTGGCAGGGTAGAGAAGTCAGAATGTATTGAGAGACTCACTAATACATTGTTGGTTTAGGTCTTTTCATGAGATTTATCGACCATAAGAAAAATACAGAACAGCCTTTCTTTTAAGCAAGTGTTTTAAACTGACCAACACTGATGCCACAATTCCTGGATTGGAAAATATAATGTTACCATAATCATGCCAGCTATAATGATTTTCATTGTCCATAGCTGAGAAACGAGCCCAACATAGGACTAGTCACGCTTTTCCTGTAGGAGGAACAGAGCAGAAGAAACTAGAGGGGAGAAAATATGAAAGGAAAGAAGCAAAATTACCATAAAAACAGTGTGTATACCACTTCAGTATTTAAAGGTCTCTCTCTCTTTCTCTCTGACAGAGAGCAGGAAAGACAGCGTAGTTGTTTTTTTCATTTCATTCATGTATCCTTTTATTACAGTTCCAACTCCATTTCCCATGGGTCTTGTAGGCAGTGAATTGGCTTGATTGGTCTGGGTTTACAGGCCTGTAGACACGGAGGTCAAGCATGTTCTTCCAACTGGGGAACGTGGACTTTCTTTACCACAAAAACAGATAGATAGTGTTTGTGATTCCCTCCCCCTCTACCTTTCCCTTACAACCACCAATCACATTTTATGACCCCCCCCTCAGGGCCTCCACACAGACTGAACCAGGCTTTTTTTTTTTCTTAATTTGACGAGGTTCACTTTCCGTTAGCATGCAGGGCCAAGTGTTTCACAAAGCCCCTCTTTCTGTTGTCCGTGGTACCGGGGGTGTGAGTGTGTCGCAGGTTACAATAAGTTCCACCTACTGATCTTAATTGGACCTGATGTGTTGTTCTGCTCCCAGGACGCCTGTTGAGTCCGGTTCTGTTCAGTTTCATTGTAAAGCAGGCCAAGAACTCTTGGCAGACGCTGAGCTATAAAACACTTAGGGCGCAAAAGCTGTGCTAAAAGGAGCTGGCGAGAAAAGAGGGACCCGAAAATAACTGTTATTGTTTTGTTTTTTCCCAATTTCTTTCAGTTTTTTTCTCCTGTGCTCGCCTACTCACACACAGCTGCTCGTCGTGAGATACGGTCACGGAGCTACAGTATGGCACCCCCACCCTCCCGCCCCCCAGCACTCACAGTTTTCTTTGGGTGATGTTTTTCCTCATTTGGGATGTCATTTAAAATCACTTAATTTTTAATTTTTATGAAAGCTTTTAAAGGATTATGGGTGGGAGCTGTGGAAATGGGGGTCTGCCTAAGTTTGTTCTTTCATCACACACACATACACACACACGTACATCTTCCTGCTGTGAAGGCCCGACGCCCCTTCCCTGCTGTGATGGTTTTCGTTGGAATTTCCCACTCTGGTGTGGAACGGCTTTTGGAAGGATCTGGAAGTGGTGATTGAGCGGCTGTAATTCAGAGGGAGGGACGACCAACTTCCCTTTGAAGCTACACAGTCTGTAAGTGTGAGGCAGTTTTTCTTTTGTTTTTTTTTTGGGCTATTTGTTTTTTGGGTGTTTCTCTCAAACCAATTAGAGTCAGTCACTGGGGGAAAAACATAATAAAGCGACACAATCAAAGATATTTTTAAAGTAGAAATGGCTTCGGTGTCTCACTGAAGTGATTATAGATCAAACACTAAAGTGTTCTTAATAGACTGTAGATCTCCCTCAAGGCAGAATGTTAGTCCTTCATAGCTCAGGCAGTCCTTTAGTCAGTACACCTTTTTCCCAGCAGCCACTTTTACATGAAACAGTAGGGTAAACACAGGTGTTACCAATGATACTAATTAAGGTTCCGTTCCATCCAGGTCAAACAGAGTCAGGGTGCTGCTGTTGTGCAGGTTGGCTTGCTGGAAAGGCTCTGCTACACTAAATGAAATGAAACCTTAATGAGTAACATTATCATCATAACGCGTGAGTTTACTCTACTGTTTCATGTCCAAATGGCTGCCTGCTGTGTGGAGGACAGAAACTCAAGTTCTCAGCCCTCAGGTTGTCAGTCAGTATCCTCTCCAGGTATGGTTTCTCTTGACCATTTGGCTCATTCTAATCTAATGTTAATGTGGACAATGCAGAGGAAATGGCTTGTTCATATGTGCAAGGAAACAGGTCCTCATATACTGTCACAGCCTTCCAGACAACCTATATGAGTGCTCTCTGATCTGATCCCCTTTGATTTGCCACCTCTATAGTTATAGTCTAGGCAACTAAAACTAGGTTAAACCTGAGTCCATTAATATTTTTGGCCACTTAAGGAGAGGTCAAGAAACTATAAACACATTACACTGTCACTTTTTAAAATATGCAGCAGATTCTGAGCAGCATTCAATCAATGTTCACTCTTCTTTTGCTCTGTTTTGGTTTCCACCAACTCCTGAAGGAAATATCTGGTTCTTTAGCTGCTAAATTCTCCACTATGTTCACCAGCCAGCTGCTGACTTTCTTTGTCAGGCCGCTGGGTAGGTAGCAGTCACTGGATTAATCAGAGCTTGTTTGCTGCAAACAGTTTCCAAATGCTTCCCTGAACAGGGCTGATGAGAGAGGTGACACTGAACCAACATAGTTAAAGTTGCAGGTCGGACAAAAAACAATGAGCTGAAAGATGCTAAAAAGCTCCATAAACTGAGGGGAACTAACAGGTAGTAATTCTCTTTTGGTTTTTCACCATGGGCGACCTCTTTCACATTACATTTAGTCATCTGTTGTTAATATCAAATGGTGGATTTGTGCAGCTTTAAGGTTAGGGTTAGTTGTCAATAGGCAGACGAGCTCTGTGCTTGCAGGTGTAATTAATCATTCCTGCCAGGGTAATAATTATCAAAATACAATCAATAATACAATAAAGTACATTGAAAAAAATTGACATAACAGACATAAATAATGCAGAAGCTGTACTTCAAAATATCAATATAGACATTATATCAGATACATCAACTATATAACCTATATTTAAAATATAGATATATAAAGCATATTGCAGGAAAAGATAAAAAACTAAATTAATTAAAGTAATATACATAACTTGGCTCTAAAATCCTTCAATCAGTGTATAAATTTCAGACACTCAAACATCCACAACAATGTCCTCCCTAAGAGCTTTTACACCACTATAACAACGTCATGTTTCTTCCATTTTTGTTTTAGAGTGTTTGAAGAACCAACGCTGTTGTTTTTCTGGTGAGGACCATTTCATACAGGATGGAGTGGTCAGCAACACTGGGCAACCTGAAGGACTACAAAAGAGTTAGTAGGTATGCTTAGTAACAACTCAGTGACTCAAAACATTTTTCATAGTACTTGAGTTGCTGAAATATGATGTTTAGTTGATTGAGAGTGAGCAAGCTGACAAAATAAATGAAATGTAAGTATTTTTAAAAATGTTAAATAATTATTGGCATTAGTAGTCACTATTTATTGTTAGAGCTCAGTAGAATAAACACTATATGGTTGATGCACCTTTTCCTGCTTGTATTTTATTTTAGGAGTCCAAGTAGCTTTGTGCTGTTTGGTTTCTAAAATAAAACACAAGTCACCGAGCAAACTGCTCCAGGATCTATTTGTTACTATTTCCAAAAGCACTTAGTGCAACACAATAAAGCCACATTAACAGCCTCTAAACTTAGATGTAGGAGTTTACAAGAAGCACTTGAAGGCAGCATGTTTGTGTATATTGAAGTGCAACTAAGTGTGTGCACACGAGTTACTTTGTGTGTGTGCATTCTTGCATAATGTCAGCACTGAAGCTGGAGTTGTGCTCAGACCACCTCTGATAATGGTGAAAGAGACAGTCCATCACACCTACTCCTTCTTTCCCTCTGTCCAGGTTTTCCTGTGGGATCCATGAGGAGAGAAAGAGAGAGAGAGAGAGAGAGAGAGAGAGAGAGACGGGGGCGACTGTGGGAGAAAGGAGGAGAGGGGAGCAGTCTGTCTCCCATTAACATTATCTCTATGGGAGCCCAAAATGGGCTCTGTCAGCAGAACACCAACCTGCTGTCAAGAGAAGAACATGAGGACGAGAGGGAGGGATAAGAAGAAAGTAAGGGAAGGGAGAGGTATTACCACAGCATCCTGCACGTCTGTGTTTTATATGGAACACCTTATATATCACATATTACTAGAAATGTAGTCAAAATATATGAGCGTCACTGAGCCTGAGTCAAAAGCTGCAACATGTGAAATCCCTCTCTCCTTGGCGAGTATCAGCTTCAGCGTTCTAACCACTGCAGTATCTTTCAGTCAACCGCCGCACTTCAAAAACACCAGAACAATTCTTTAAATTGATTCTTCTTTCGCTGTCCGACAGTAAAGAATTGATTCACTGATGCTTCATTTCATTCACCTTTGTAAAAATGACAGCTTTGTGGGCAAAAGCACTTCTATTTAGTGAGAGCCAATAAAGCAGCTTGTTTAGGGCAAGAGAGTTGGCTCAGGTGGAGTCCAACGTCAGATCAATACCAGATTTAGTGGATGTGGCTCTATAACTCTGTCAGTTCAACTTATTCACTTGAAGGTATCATTGCACTTTGGAAAACTAATAAAAAAATGTAACTCTTAAGTTTAAGTTATTTAAACTGCAGGAATCCATATTCCATCCTTGGGTCGGTCCACCGCGTTGGTCCGGACTGAAATAGCTCAACAACGTTTGGACAGATTGGCATTAAATTTTGTACAGACATTAATGGTTGGCAGACAATGAACCCTAATGGCTTTGATGCATCACCAGGACAGTTTTGGCTTTTATGAAATATCTAAATTCTATCCATGAATTTTGGTACAAATGTCCCTCGAGGTAAATTGTAATCACTATTTCCTTTCTTTTCATCTAACACCATTATCTGGTCAAAAATTTAATTTATCCAATACTTTTGTTTATGACTAATATTTGCAAAATTAAGCTATACTAAAACTATAAGTTGCTTACTATAAATACAAAATGACAAATCGAATATAAAACAGTCCCTGACAAACATCCCACCACTCATCTGTTTTCTATAATAGAGTGGTAGCTAGCTAGCTAGAGTCTGTCAGCACAGTCAGTAACCTAGTAGACTGAAAGGTAACAAGGCCTCGTTTTGATCCACTCCTGTTTGCCCTGTTTAAGTTACTATTAGCATTACGCTGTTAATTCAAACTCAATACTTTATGTTCTTCTTCTGTTAAAAGCCCTCTAGTGTTTCAGTGGGAAGGAACATGTTGTGGAAAACTTGACTTGCAACTCTCATCCATAGGCTCTCAGGAGCAACTGAGTCATGTCCAGCACCTAGTGGTTTCGGTATTACAACTAAAAGTGTAGTACATGGCTTAATATCAAACAGGTTTGAAAATGTAGTGGCTGTAGACTGGTCAAATCTGGACTACCTGTAATCTAAGAGTTCATTCATAGTCATGAACATAATAGAATTATCTCCCAATTCTTTTACATTCAGCTATATTTTAGCAACATTTCAGCATATTCTTTTAGTTTACGGCTTGCAAGTTCACAGTTTTGGTTCCATCTAACCACTCTCGCCAACCTTGTTCCCAGCAGCGGGAGTTGCTTTGACTAGTAGGTCATTTAAGGTTTTAGAACATTCTCATTCCCACGTCATCAAATACTGACATTTTGTCACGCCCCTCTGTGCATCATACCCTCTCATGTCTGAGATGCACCAGGCTGCCAGAAAGCCTTTAGGAAGTCCGCATAAGGAGGAGGTTGGGATGGATGTCTGGGTCAAACAAATCCAGGACTTTCACCCAGGAGGCAGCTGTTAATGTCCCGTGTGAAACCAAAAGTCAACAATATTTAAAGTTTTAAGTAACAAAATGTTTTGAGGGACTTTCGTAACATACTTATTTTAACCCAAACCATGATCTTTTTCTAAACCTACCGAAGTAGTTTTGTTGCATGAACCACATGTTAAAAAGGTGACAAAGCAGGGTCAGTATTTGACAAACTAGGATGGGAACGTATTGCAGGTTTAGAAGCTGATTAAATGTCATTGTGGGTACAGTTTGTTCTTCTGAAATACTTGTGCTTCCACACTCCACCCACACATTTTCTATTGTGTGTGTGTAAGAAATCAACACAAAAACCACTTAATTTCTGCTATCAGATGTTCCCCATGCACCGTTCTATTTACATTTAAGGTCATCCATGCGTATGATGATGCTTGACCCCTCTGTGTTTTTTGGCCCTACTTAGAGGCACTAGAAGCAGGGAGGAAGACATATGGGGTCTGTACAGGGCCTCTGAGCAAGTTCAGCAGAAAAAGGTTCAAGAGCGAAAGTAAACAGAAGAAAAAAAGAAAGTCAGTCACAAGTGCTCTATTGAGAAAGATGCACTTCATTTACTCTGAAACAGATACCATTAGAGTCCATAAACCTCTCCTGTCCCCTCTGCTGTGCCCATCTGTCTTACATGTATGATGTCTGTGTTTGGACTCTGTAACATTAAGGGCCATCATACGTGATTTACACTGTGTTGTGTTCCAGGGGGCTACATGGTGCTAGATGATGACAAATGGACGTACTGTAGTTATGACATGTTTAAAACCCAGAGAGCTCTGTTTACAGTCCAGGCCTTTGTTCAAGCCCAGTGTTTCTGGGTTCAGTGGGAACCAATGAATCGTCTTGGAACTTCTTTTAGACAAAGAACGCCACGTAGACACAGATTTACTGGAAAGAAGACAGACACAGCATCAGCATCATCATCAAACATGTACACGCATACAGGAGTAGACATGTATTTGTGAGCACACTTTAAAAATAGAAGGCAATCCAGACAATTCATATACATTAACAACACATAAAATATATTCTTATCTAGCAGCTTAACCATAAGAGCACAGTAAAAGTCAAACTGCAAAAGTGAGGGCCAAAAATGTGATTTTGAAACCCTAACTTCTGCATCCCCAGTCAAGAAATTACACCACTGGAGGGATAAAATAACAATATTTATTACAAAGTGAGACACCAACAGAGACACATTTTGCAACTTTTTTACAAATTGAGGCTCATGAAGGTAGGCAAAGGACATGATGCAAGTGCATTAGGGCTGTAAGAAATAGTAGAAATTTACTGGTGGAAGAAAAAAGAGGAAAGCTTGACAGAAAAAGATCTTTACTGAACTAGGGAGCCTAATTTGCATAAAAAAGTGGCCACATACACAGACACAAACTTGGCTCATACTGAGGAGTGTTTACACTCAAACCTCAGATGGTTTCATTATTTATGAGCACCCTTGGACATTTTAGCATTGCACAGGATTGGTTTAAGATTGAGAGAGGGGAATACAAATTACCAACATGTGGTGTAAAACCTAAACCCCTCTTGTCTGCCTGTCGAGGAGAGAAGAGAGTCATGAATTTGGAATTGTGTGTTTCTATGTGTGTGTGTGTGTGTTGCTGCAGTCACATGTTTAAGGGCTGAATTCATTATTACAGCAGACAGTACATCACTATTCAGCTACCTACTGTTCCAAACCTTGTCACACAATAACTCTCTCCCTCTTTCTCCAATAGTCCCCATAATCCTTCACTAATGAGGGTAGTTCCATTTCAAAAAGGACAGCATCACCAACGAAACAAAACCTAAACAAAAGATTGTTTCCAAGCAAAGACAGAAGAACACCTTATGACAGAATCAGAAAGGTGATGGGTGGTGAAACGAGTTGTGGACATATAGTGAAGAGGACACAAGTGCTGAGCTTCAAATCTCAAATGTGTTTGAGCTGAGCCAAACAGATTTCATTAATTATGTGCCAAATCAAACATGAAACACATGTCCACCATATCACGTTGTACGGAGGAAGTGAGATGGAGAACAATGTGGAACAATAGGAAGGATGTTTGAGGCTTAAAACAAAGGGAGTGAGTGATGAACATGTGTGCTACACAAGATGTCTAAAACATCTGGAAACACAGAGAAACAACCAGTTAAGCAAGTGGTTGTAGAAAGTCAAACTAATACTTCCTAAAAACTGGTATCTTGGAACTTTCAGACATGTTGACAGCTAATATGTGAGGGGAAAATCCTTTTACACATCTCTGTGATTTAAGACTTTTCAGGCACTCGGTACTGGGAGGTCACTGTCGTGTATACAGCACAGAGCCTTTTCCCAAGGAGCATCACAGTGATCTGTTGCTGTACTCTCACCACACTCTCACCTTTTCAGCATGCAGGTGGGTGGAGTAGACGCAGGGCATTTCTAGCTGGTGCACCTCCATTAGTGCCCTTGCATTTGCAGTGGGGTCATCAGCTGGGAAAACCAGTCCTACACATTTTATTCTACGGGCTTGTACATCTGTGGGCCATTTCCATTGTCAGAACCAAGCAAGCCAGTGCCGGACAATGAAACTAGCCTTTGTGGTTGTTGTGCAGTAGAAACCGAGACAAAAACCAATGTCTTACTCTGATTCTCAGCACTATATACTCAAATTAATTCTGTACAGTCACAGTAAATAGTGTTAGTGCTGGGTATCGAACTCAATGTATTTTTAGAGCCGTCTGGAATGTGTCGAAAGCAACTAGTATGGATCAATTGATCTTCTGCTCAGGTTTGTAATCTTGTGAATTTTGTATTTCATCAGATAGTTCCTAATTTAAATACAGATTTAGCCAGTGTAAGACTAGATTAGATCATCACACACTGTACTGTTGATAGCTGTTAGAAGTGCAACACACACTGGCACTGACATTACATACCATCACATGTAAAACACACTGGACCCTGGTCATACAGGCAGAAAAAGCAGTGAAAGGATGGGAGCTGGGAGGTGCAGATTTGGGGAGCGAATGAGATAAAATGTCTGTTTTTCTGTAGAGTTGATGTAGGTCCACGCTGGGAATGAATACAGTGGTGTATACTGAT